CAATAGGACCGACTGCCCTCTCAAAATCCTCTTATAGTGCCAAGGCAATAGAGATGTTGAGAGGGGAGAGGCTGACTACCCACAAAAGAGTACTACTACCACATCAGCTCTAGATTATTAAATATGGTTTTCAGTGGACAAGCAGATGATGTTCTGTATCAGAAACTAGAGCTGATATGGTTTATCCAATGCAATTTTCTGAGTAGTCAAAGCCATGGTATTCCCTGTAGTAACCTACGGATGTGAGAGCTGGACCTTAGGGAAGGCTGAGCGAAGGAAGATTGATGCTTTTGATCTGTGGTGTTGGAGGAAAGTTCTGAGAGTGCCTTGGACTGCGAGAAGATCCAACCAGTCCATCCTCCAGGAAATAAAGCCCGGCTGCTCACTGGAGGGAAGGATACTAGAGACAAAGTTGAAGTAATTTGGCCACATCATGAGGAGACAGCAAAGCCTAGAGAAGACAATTATGCTGGGGAAAGTGGAAGGCAAAAGGAAGAGGGGCCGACCAAGGGCAAGATGGATGGATGGCATCCTTGAAGTGACTGGACTGACCTTGAAGGAGCTGGGGATGGTGACGGCCGACAGGAAGCTCTGGTGTGGGCTGGTCCATGAGGTCACGAAGAGTCGGAGACGACTGAACGAATGAACAACAACAACAATGCAATTTTCTGAATCAGCATTCCAAATAACCAAATTGAATCTAAAGTTGACTAGAAACCAGTTCATAACCCTTTTGGTACTAATGTTGGAGGACAATCCTTGGTCAACGTGGTCCTGATCAAAGTGGTCCCTGGTCAAACACAGGTTGGGAACCACTGGTATAATCTAACTGGGAAAGGAATTTCACAACCTGGGACCAGTCATTGAGAAGGCCTTCTCCCATTTTCCCACAAGAGATAGCTTTGAAGATAGTGGAACAGAGAGAAGGGCTTCCCTGAAAGATCTCATAACAGGCAGGCTCATGTGGCTAAAATATATTAAAAAGCTCAAATATAATAACAATTTCCCTTGGCTTTAAAGAATTCTGTCACATTTAACAACATCTGTTCATGTTACATTGCTTCATGGTAGGGCCAGCTATAGATGGCAGCAACTTGTAATAGTAGCAATGTAGGAGTAGGACTAATACTAATAGCCTCTTTTGTGTGATATACTGTAGTCTCTTTATAAATTTGCTCTGACAGTAATGTATCTCACTATCATTCCTGCCTGATCCTGATTTTTTTTTAAAATACCAGGGTAGCAACCTGTGGTACTGCAGAAACAGGATTAAAATGCTCATTAGTTTGTGCCAGCATAGCCTATGTTGATGGGAGCTGTAGTCCAAGAACATCTTGAGGGCCTAAGCTGACCCTCTTGCTTTATTATATTAAATTGCCTTTAACTAGCCTTTCCACATCTGTACCCTTCTTTCTTTAAATTTATTTTCTTGATTCCAAATTGACTCCTATGCATTTTGGATGTATATAATAACACTCACCTGAGAGTGATCATGCAACCATGTCGAGGCCTTGGTCGCTCTCTGGAATGGGGAGATGGCCAGGGCAATTGACATGATCGCTCCGGAACGTCCCCTGATGGCCAGGGCAATCGACGTAATCGCTCCGGAACGTCCCCTCTCAAGTAGCCGAGCTAAACCAGCCCCTTGGTTTACTGAGGAGCTGGCAGTGATGAAGCGAAGGAAGAGGGAACTAGAGAGCGTGTGGCGTTCAGACCCAAGCGAGTCAAATCGAGCACGGTTTGTGTCCTTTTTAAGGGCATACGCCGCGGCAATAAAAGCCGCAAAGAAAACCTTCTTTGCGGCTTCCATTGCGTCTGCAAAGAACCGTCCGGCGGAGTTGTTTCGGATTGTCAGAGGTCTTTTAACTCCCGCCACTTCAGGCGGGAGCCCTGACAATTCGGTCACGCGCTGTGAAGCATTTGCTCGGTTCTTTGCAGACAAAGTCGCTTTGATCCGTTCTGAGCTGGACACCATGTTAAATGCAGTCTCTGTGGATGTGACACGAGCACCTGCTTGTCCTATTTTGATGGATTCTTTTCAGTTTGTGAAGCCCGAGGATGTGGACAAGATACTTGGAGGAATGAGGCCTACCACGTCCATCCTAGACCCCTGCCCATCCTGGCTTCTAAAGGAGGCCAGAGGGGGATTGGCTGAGTGGGTTAAGGTGGTGGTTAATGCTTCCCTTCAGGAAGGCAAGATTCCAGCGAGCTTAAAACAAGCTATAATAAAACCGCTGTTGAAGAAACCATCACTGGACCCCACTAAATTCGACAACTATCGGCCAGTTTCCAATCTCCCCTTCTTGGGCAAAGTCTTGGAACGTGTGGTGGCCTCACAACTCCAGGTATTCTTGGTAGACACGGCATTATCTAGACCCGGCACAGTCTGGCTTTAGGCCGGGACATGGTACCGAGACAGCCTTGGTCGCCTTAGTGGTGATCTTGAGCCGGTGAGCTAGAAAGGAGGGGAGTGTGTCAAATGGTGGTGAGCAAATGGGACCTAAAAGCAGTGGACATCGCGAATACATATTCGACAGAAAAGGGACTAATGAGGTCTGGGGACGCATTGCAGGAGAAAGCGAGGGTCCGTGGGGGACCACTGCTACTCGGCAGTCATGGACTGCCAAGGAATTTATGGGAAGGGTCAGAACCCAGTGAGGTGTTATTGGGGGTGAAGGCTGGTTTCAACAACAAACGCAGTCGGAGATCGGTGGGTTCCTAAAGTGAGGTCTATACTGTCCCCCTAGGCCGTTAATATCTAAATTGACAGCAGCACTTCCGAGGGTGAGGGACTCCAATATACAGGAGGTTGGGTGGTTAACCTCGGACAAATAAATATATGTAGTATGGAATATGTACCAACAGGAAGATCACGACGGTCAAACTCTGTCATCCGTTTCAACCCTAGCATAATAATGGAAGGCTCTCTGAGATGGGCGAGCGGTCAATGAAACAAAAGACATGTCAAAAAGCGTCAATTAAGAGTGGAGGGCCTGACTCAACGGCACCAGCGTGTTTGTGTGAATGGTGCGGAATTGTTGACGGCGAAAAAAAGCTGAAATGAAGATCAAGACAAAGGACAGAAAGGGTACGGCCCGTGGTCCAGAGCGTACACAAGAGTCCCCTTAATCTGAAAGGGGTCAAACACTTAAAGCCGAAAAAAGGGTGGGGATTAGGGTGATAAGCCTGTGCTTGGATGGGGTGCTCACTTACCCTGCGAAGGCCGCAGCAGTGAGCCAGCCCAGGGTGTAAATTGTGAACCCACTTGGGAATTCATCGCCTTGAGCCTGGCTATCACCCAGGTCGTGCAGGGGGACCAGGGCGACCGAATGAATGTGGCACAGCGGTGGCTACAAAACTAGTACCCGGACTTAGAGCGCCAAGCTGCCGCGCCTACGTGATATTGGGAAAGTGCTGATCGGGCAACAAGGGGGAAACATCCTGGTCATAATCCCCCGTCCGTATTATGGACGTAAGGCAACGCATCCTGACGGGCGGGACGGACAATCTGGGAAACGGCACGGAGGCAAGCCTTCTACGTGGGGCTGCCCTTGAAGACGGCCCGGAAGCTGCAGATAGTCCAGCGCGCGGCAGCCATGTTACTAACAGGAGCGGGACGCAGGGAGCACACAACGCCCTTGTTGTCCCAGCTCCACTGGCTGCCGATTTGCTACCGGGCCCAATTTAAGGTGCTGGTGTTATCCTACAAAGCCCTAAACGGTTCCGGCCCAAAATACCTTTCGGACCGCATCTCGGCCTATGAGCCCACGAGGGCCTTGAGATCGTCTGGGGAGGCCCTTCTCTCGATCCCACCTGCCTCACAGGCACGTCTGGTGGGGACGAGAGAGAGGGCCTTCTCAGTGGTGGCCCCCCGGCTGTGGAACACCCTCCCTGTTGACATCAGACAGGCGCCCTCCCTTATGGCTTTCCGCAAGAGCCTAAAGACCTGGCTATTCGAGAAGGCATTTAATTGAGAGCTACACGAATCTGGTAATGACAACAGGAACGGATTATGGATTATGAGATTGGCTATGATTCTATGTTGTGATGGTGCGGATTTGTTAGTGTGATTTAGTTTAATGTGTAATATGGTTGTGTTGATATATTGTGTGCCTTTGTAAACTGTTTTTATATGTTGTACACCGCCGCGAGTCGCCCCAGGGCTGAGAGCGGCGGTCAACAAATGCAGTAAATAAATAAATAAATAAACTCCTTCGGGTAATGAATGTAATATATCTAATAGATGAAGTGTTTTTTACGTTATGTTGATTATAGTATCAAAAACAAATTAGTTACTTCTACTGTATGTATCTTGTTTCAACTACATCTGGAAATTCTTCAGGAATCCGATAGATTGTAAACCTGTGTAATAGATTTCAGTGGCAGGGGTGGGGTCTTAGATATATCATATTTAATGCATGAACTTCTTGTTCCATGTTACATTCTGGAAGATTATTATTCCTAGGTAACATATTATTCCTAGGTAACATATCTGCTGGGGTTTAGTCCCAGACCCTCCCTCCCCTATGAATACCAAAATGTATGGGTGCTCAAGTCCCATTATATACAATGGCATAGTAAAATGGTGTTCCCTATATATAATGGCACAATCAAGTTGTTTTTTTTGGGGGGGGGGATATTTTTCAAGCCATGGACACTTGAATCTGTGGATACAGAATCCATGGATACTGCACACAATTCTGACTTCTATTGGTTTACCATGTTAACAGACATCACTTTCCAAAATGATTTTCTAAAATATATCTTGTTGACGACGTGAAGAATTCTTTCTTGGTGAAGATGGCAGGGCACTTCTCAAGCTGAACTTTCTTATAGCTAATACAAATAAACTCTGCCCCAAAAGCTTGTTGTTTTTGTTGATATTGACATTTGTAGACAATCTGTTGTATTCTTTCAAGCATGCTTATTTTATGAATGCATTTCAAGATTAATGGCACACAGAAATTCTTACTTAGACATTGTTGCCATCCTCATTGCAGCTCCTCCCAACTGGACGCAGAGAATAAACGATGCCCATGTGGCTATCGAGGAAAACATCTACTGGGAATGTAAAGCAAACGGGAGACCAAAGCCTTCTTACAGCTGGTTGAAGGATGGTGAGCTGCTCCTCCCGCAGGTATGAACAATGTTTTGGGCTTGGTGTCCTTGGTGCTTTGAGTTTAGGAACTGACTTGAAAGAATTTGCTCTGATGTAGTGACCTTTTCATGTCTGTATAGTTTATTGCTGTTGAAAAAGAAACTGATGAAATCATATGGCCTTAAAATTCCATCTGTCCCATCGCAGACTTCCTTCCCTGCTGAGTGAATGTCACAGATTCACCTTGAGCTTTCCTTGTAGTTAAAACAATGACACTTCAAGCCACACTTTTTCAAAGGCAGAAATTACCCTCAGGCAACTAATTCCCTACTAACGCTCAATAAAAGTTAGTCATTTAAGTGCCATTTTCTGCCTTTGACAAGTATTTCTCTGAATCAAGTGGAACTTGGAAGCAGTGGGACTCATTTCCAGCAGATATATTCACAATCAAATGAAGAGCTCATAAAATGACTGCATTTTTTTCAACAAAATCCAACTTATAGCAAAAACCAAGTTAAGTGTGAACTGTGAAAAGAATGAATAGTTGATTTAGACTATAAACCTCTTCCACTCCCATTTGTGAACTTGTGTTAAAAAATAACCACAATTGAGCTTTATGGTATGTAAACAAGCCCTCTGGTCTGTATCAGTAACCTCATTCCACTTCTCCAAGCCTCTGCAGGCATCAGCAACAAGGGAGTTGACCTACCATTAGCAATGGCAGAGTGAATTGCCTAAAGATTAATGATCTATGGAAAGGGAGGCAGTAACTCATTGGTAGCTGCTCTATTTTAGTTTCACCAGAGGGGATCCTCTCAGGTCTTGATTTTCTCAATTATGAAGGAAAAACTCAGCAAATTACTCACTATTTCCAGGGCAAGCAGGATTTGTCACCTGCACTTTGGCAAGGGAAAGAACTGGTGCCTACATTTGATCAAGTGCTAATGACAACTGTGAAAACACTGCAATACAACCCTTCAGCCAAGGAGAAAGCCAATCACATTTTATATTATATTAGTTATTATGTGTCTGATTGTTAAAATAGAGTCAAACTCCCATTGAGTAGGGAAATACATTGCTGTCCTTTTTAAAATGGATAGCATGAGTTCCATATCCTTAGGCTGACAAATGATTGCAGGCTCTATTGTTCCACATGCTAATTCCACTTGCTTCATGCTGGTCACTAGCAGATGGTCTTGAACTTAAATCACATTAGACTAAAGTAAGGATCGTTAAATGATTAACATTTACATCTTTAGGGTGTTTCATTCTGGTGGGGTGAACTGCATACAATTGCTTTGCACCACTGAATGCGATTACTTTCCCCATTAACCTTCAAGGGAGATGAAAGCTAATAGTTCTGCTGTTGCAAATATTGTGAACAAGTTGTCTGGCTGCGTTAGGCCATAACGCAGCATAGGACAAAAGCAGTTTGGGATTCCAGTTAATCTCCTTGAAGGGTTATTAATCTGAATGGCTCAGATGTTCAGTCAATGAGAACTCAAGCAAGAAGGCTCCAGTTTTAATGGTATTTACACACTATTGTATTGTTTTATTTTATGATTTAGCCTTTAAGAGGTCATAAATTTAGATGACAAATAAATTGCATCATATATTGTATCCTTTTGCAACTTTTGCTCTCCCATATTAAAATAAGGATATCCTTACAGGGACATATTGTTTGTTTGTTTATTTGCTTACTATATTTTACCCTGCTCTTCTCACCCTGAAGGATACTCAGAATAGCTTACAAGTTGGCAATATTCAATACCATGGAAACAACAAACAAATACAATAAACACAAATATTAAAATCATTAAAAGCTAAAAAAAATCATAGCATTAATATATTACTTTTGGTCCCAATAATTTCAGATGCTGGATACTCAATATGTGCTGACTTATATCAACTTGGAGACTGTATACAAAGAGACCCAGGCATAAACATGTTGTATATACATATCATTTGAAGTTTTAACAAAACATGTTGACTTATACATTCTGAGCCAAGTTTCCTTTGTGTATATGCATTTATTAATTTACTGTTTTGCAGGAAAGAATTCAGATTGAACATGGCACACTCACCATAACCAATGTGAGCCTCTCAGACACCGGCATGTATCAGTGTGTAGCTGAAAACCGATACGGAGCCATCTATATCAGCGCAGAACTGAGTGTAATCGGTGGGCTGTTTTTACTTTAACAAAAATCTTGATGAATCTAAATTATTTTTCTGTTCTCTGTGAAGTCTGCAAATAATTTATATTTTGTCCTACTGAAATGTGTACCTTTTCTGTCTTGTAACATTCTCATTCAAAAGTAATTGGGCCTTTCCAGCATCCATTTCATAACAGCGATCCACATACATGAAAGGAGTAGACAACTCTAGTTCTTTAATCGGCATATTCTTTTGGTAGGGGGTGAAGTTGGTGGGTCACATGCTAGGAGAAACTTGATGTGAATGAGAAAAAGATTCCTTCATTGCAGGTGCTGGCCAATCTGCTGCTATGGAAGTGGCAAAGCCACTCTCAATTTTATAGCTCTACCTCCTGCTGATGCTCTGAATATTCATTGCTCGCCCATTCCATTCTATGATTCTCAGGCACAGAACCTTTACATAATTTGGAGCAATTGCCTGAGGAGCAATGGTAAAACCAAAAGTAGATTCGCCTCCTCTGCAGCAGCAAATTCATTAGGCTTTTGTGATCCCACATAGTCCTTGCTTCCAGGGAACTTGGACACTTTTCAAAGGATTCTGCACAAATATTTTAGGACAGGATTGGACAGACTTCAGGTTCTTAAGACTTGCTCTTTTTTTCATTTTCTAAGTAAAAAAAAATGTTAAGCTCCATATGTCAGATGCAGCCATGAAAACAGCTGGAAGCCGGTAAACAAACCAGGATTTATTTGAGCCTGGGAAATTGTTTTCTTTTTCATGTCTTAGCTCACATTCTTTTCATCCAAACAATTTATTTTGATTAATTTCAGCTAAATTTATAGCGGTGTTATTGTTGTAACCATTACATAATCGGAAACCAGAAATCTCTGCAACTCTACTGAAGCTGGATCTAATTGCCATCTAATCCAGTGTCTGAATCCAGATTATCTTCTTTGAACTGGATTAAGTAGCAGCATACACTTTTATAATCCAGTTCAAGGCAGGTGTATCTCAGGGTAGATGGGACCTGAAATTCACCCAGAGGTCAGTTAGACAAGGGAATGATTCAGTTTTACATCCTCTTCAATTCATTATTGTTTTTTAAAAAATACAGATTGTAAATATTTACCATCTCAAATATTTCAAAAAACTGAAATGAAATACTCATCTATCTACACGTGCATAACTAAATTTCTACATCTCTATCCAATACAAAGAAAATATAAAAATCTTGTTGGTGCAGCTAACTGTATAGCTTTTGAAGATGAGGATCCTGTCATAAAATAAAATAAAATAGGGGTGGTGAGTACAAAAGGCTTTGAGTACAAAAGGATTCATATGCAAACTTTTGGGACTTTCCACACCAATGCAATTGGTAGGGAGAGCAATTTGCCTCTCCCCCTGAAGGAGAGAATGGTTGGTTCCATTGGAACCATCTAGAAAAAGGGACGGGGCTGGCTGACTGTTACAGCCAGCCTCTTCCCTTATTCCACAGACCTCGCTTGCAACTTGGATACCCAGAAATTGATGAATTGCATTTCCCAGATTTCCTTACCTAGCAGATACTGGCTAGGACATCTGTGTGTTTGTGGTACATGTTTATAGAGCCAGGTTTCTCTTCTGTCCCTTTTCTGGCACCTGATTTAACCTCTGTGATGAGACTGTAATATTATACTGTCACTAAAGTCTTTGGATGCACTTTCATGGTGCACATAGGAAGTAGGGAATGATCCGTGTCCAAGAATACTTATAGTATCTTATGCCACAGATTATTGCATTAAAAACAGCTGGTGCTGTTACCAGAGCAAGAAGACTGTAACTCTTCTCCCCCTTGCTTTTACCACCATGACCACTTTCCTATAACAGGTTGTGATGTCTTATGCAAGAAGATAAGAACATCTCTGGTGCATCAGTGCATTCCAATTGTGGGTACAATGACTGAACAATTCCTCTGAAATGAGTGTTGAAAACAGCAAGATTATAATACTGTTTGCTCTGCAAGTGATGAATGTCCTTTCACAAATCTATATCCTATTATGGATTTTGTTTATTCTGTGGGACCAAACAATGAGGCATCCCTCTCTTTCTAGATATTGAGTAATAGGGCATCCTCTTGACCAATAATTGCTGCCTACTGACTTGTGAAAGCACATAAGCCATGTGGCTTATGTACTTTCACCAGTCAGTGGGTAGCAATTACAAATATGGTGGAAGTTAAAAGAAGCTGTCAACAAACTACTGGAGAATGAAAAAAACATGTTATAGTTTCTACAATAGCTTCTAAGAAGGAGTCCCTGAAGATTTGCTACAATATGCTGTTGTTTGTGAAACTGTACTTGCTTTGGGTCTGACATTGTCTGGCTGTGTACCTTCTTGCTTCATTCTAGAGTTGTCTGATAAATAAACAGATATTATAAAGCAGGAAAAGTCTCCAGTAGTAATTTCTCCCAAGAAAGTGACTCTTGGAAGCTTGGAAAAGAGGGACATATTCAATAAACCAAATGCATTACGGCACTGTGGTTCAGTCTGTAGTATTTTAGGCATTTTGCTTGAAATTATGTGAGTTGGAATCCACAATCCCTGAAGAGTGTCACGTTAGAAAAGACTGCATCACTGTGTCTTGGAACTGCACATTTTTGAATGCTACCCAGCATCCCAAACAGTGCATGTGTTTGCTGACCATCAAAAGTTACCCCTAATTAATGTAGAGAATTTACCACCACAAAAGTAGTCCTGATTATATGTTTCCATGGGTTCATGAAATGTACAAATTGATGGAAACTTGTCCTTCTAGTACAATCCCTCTTATATGTTGAAATATCATCAGGTTTTATATAGCTTTGTAAAACCCATTTTGTATGGTTTTGATACCGACAGAACTGATATATGCAGTTTCACTTATCCATGATTTCAATTACTCTGTTAATTCACTTAAGGTCTCCTGTACAAGCTAAATCCTCTTCTCAGTACCGCATTTGTCCCAGAGAAAATTGTAGGGTTTGCTTTTATCCACGCCAAGTCTGGAAACATGTCCCTTATGGATATAGGAGTCATAGTGTACATGAAAGTTAGCCAGACGTGATTCAGTCCAATCATTTGTTTGCATCCTTAAATCTGTGATGTCTTCCATAATTTGTAGTTTTTAAAAATGCTACTTTCTGAAAATAATTAATTGAATGGATAATAATTAAAATAACTAGTATATTGTATTATACAATTTGTTCAGATTATTTTTATTTTAACTGTAACTTCTGAAAGTAATAACATCCATTAAAGGAGTGTATTGATGCCTGACAACCTCATATGACTCCCATCTGTTGAATGTCGACATGTGTTGTGGAGAGATGCATGTAGACTCAATATAAATCAGGGCCCGTCCAGACAGGCCTTAATCCCAGTAGGAACAGGGTTTGGGGTGGCCACACACCCACCCCAAACCCTGGGATTTCCCTGGTGGATTGGCTCCATGTCATCATGGGCCAACCCACAGCCCCACTCCCTTTACCCAAAAACCCTTACCTGTGGAGCATGCCAGAGAGTTCTTCTGGTGCTTGAAAATGACATGTCGGGGGACAGGGGGAGGGGAGTTAAGATCTGGACTTAAGTTCTGAATCTTTGCAGGTGTTTTATTAATCCAGAGCAAACTGGGAAAACCCAGTTTTCTCTGGATTAATACAGTTTTACCTGAGGCAACATTTGGACAACCCAGGTCAAACCAAGACAGTTCCTCCATTTTAGGCCTGCCTGAAAGTGCCCTCAGATTTCCAATTATTTAAAATTATATTTTACCTAGAAGGTAGGGATGGAATGTTGAAAGAGTGGTTGAAAAGCTTGTCCAGAACCTATTTTATGAAGGAAACACCATTTTATTTCAGTGTAGAAATAGTCAGTCCTGCAGAGAAAATGTTTTCTGCACAAATGTGGAATTTCTTTGACATAAAATTTACTCATTGCCGATTTGCATAGAAAACAGTACATTCTCTAGCATAAACAGTAATTTCTGCAGAGTTATTAATATTTCTGTGTTGAAATGTTATTTTCCATACTATTTCCTATATATAAAAAATCATATTTACTGTGAAAGTCAACATTTTCTGGGCAGTAATACATATTTATTTTTTCTGTTTTTAAAATGCTGTTTTGTAGATATAACAGCCACATATGAATTTGTGCAGGATCAGTCCTGAATAATATTCAAATTGTGTAATTTCAAAGATTTCAGTGCAACAGGAAGAAAATTGCTGAAACTACTTGGTATTATCTTCAAGAATAAACTTAATTGTAGTTTTACAAGGTCTTTAGCTTTCTCTGCCAGAGAGTGCTAGTGCCTCATCAAACTACAACTCCCAGAATTCTGTAGTATTGAGCCATGACAATAAAACGTCAAATTGCATGAATTAAACAGTGCACCCTTAGTGAAGTACACATCCCTACTAGAAACTTATACATGTGGAAATGTAATTTCCTTAATACAGATATCTATGCATTCAAAACTGTATGGTGTAGGGTCAGGAATAGCAGCATCATTGTCCCAATGCCCATTAAATGGGTGGAGTGTTGTCTGTGTGTGTGACTCACACAATAAGTTACATAATAGAGGCTAGCAATATAAAACTCACTGATAACAGTTCCTACAGAAGATAAGAACCTAGAATGCAGGTTTTGTAGATATTGGATTGTGCTTTGACTATTAAGTTGTAAGTAGTTTCCTAACAAGGCTAACAATAAACAACTACCAATATCTTTTATACAGTAGGGATATAAATCAGTACCGTAATGCTTCATTTGCATGCAATCTTCCGCCTTGCAACTATTGCTTACAATCATATGAATGAAATATTTTAAATCTTATTATATAAGTACACTTCTTTGTCACTTTCTCATATGTAGAATAAAACACATTGAAGTTTGTAAGGCACTCCTCAACAATTCTTCACAAAATTGTTGCCAATATCACATCTTCAGATCAAGCTATAAACACTCCAAAAATGTGCAGAAGTCAAAAATGACCCCATTTCCACCTTT